GGGCGATGCAGTGGTTTCTTCTGTGCATTTACAGTTTTTTTTTCTAAAAGGAGCCTGCATGCTTTACGGTGCATTGTGGTTTAATGCAGCTTCATTCCACAATATTTAATTTTCTCTGGCCTCTAACATCTGTCTGCAGCAGAGTATGCTGAACCATTCATTAAGCAAAGCTCTTATATCTCAGCTGCTATGGAATGAACCTTTTTTGTTGCTTCTTACCAGGAGAGATATCGAGCCTATTCATGAATTGTTTTCCTTAAGTCTATGCTTAGTGTGTACTGTCCTTTTTTTTTTCCCAGGGCTAATTTGTCATTGTATGTGCCGTGGTTTTTTGTGCACTCTGGAATGTGATGAGTGGCTCCCCTTTAAGATGTCATTGAAAACTGAGGAGGTACTCTTATTTGCACTTGGGAAATGTATGTATATATATTATGAGTCTCTAACTGAATTGTATAGAAATTTCTTTACGTCGCTTGTGAAACATGCGCATTTTACATCAGTTGTTCCGTAATTTACTTGTAATATTATAAGACGGGATAAGTAGTCCTTATGTCATCCTAGAAGATGAGAAATTCCAACAACTAATGGAAAATGCCGTATATTTTCCGGTAATAGTCCTGCTATCCTGTGAATGGTAGCAGTTGCCCTGGCCTGCAGCCAAACTGAAGTACCAGGTGACCAATTGTCGACAGCCCAGCCACAGCTGGAGCCCAACCGCTGGATGAGGATAGCTTCAGCATGTGCCATCTCGGCAGACTGCGAGAGCACGTCTTCACTGGGGTTCATGGAACATCTTGATGCCTGTTGCTCTCTCTCCTCTGGTTGTCAGTTAGGGGATCACAAGGCTTTATTTTATTGAATTGCACATTAAAATCATTTTTGCTTTCCTGGCTGTTGAAGGATGCAGAGACTGGCAGCCCTCAAAACTGCCTTTTTATCCGTCTCCAATCCCGAGCAATTTTTTAGTCTCTCTCTGTCTCTCTCTCTCGACTTGTGGTCAGTTTCTCCTCAAGGCAGTCCAACATTGGAGGTGTGTTATTGCAGTGTTAAATGCGCAGATTAAAAATCTGAGAGGAAAAAGTGCTCTGTAAGATGTATTTAATTGTTTGGTTTTCACGATGGTTAGAAAAGACTTTCACAAAGTAAAACCCTACAAATTAGACCTGGGGCCATTGTTGTGGTGTGTTTGTATGACTTCTCTTCCTGCACTATTGTCATCCCATGGTGAGCAGAAATGATCTTTTAACAGATTGCACATATGTTTGATGAATCAGTTTTCAGTTATGTTTGACTTAATAGAACTGCTGGTTTCAGTCTGAAGGCTTCATTTTCAATATGCAGTGCATGCAGAACTGAGGAATTTTCATGCATAGTTAAAATTTAACTAGATTTAGCAAAAAAAATATCTATAGCGATAGTCATATTGAGTTAAATACAGCATGGTGACAAAACCTGTATTGTAGCTTTTTCCTCTGCATGTCTTAGTTGTTCTGCACAGCTTTGAACAGTCCCCTGAAAGGTAGGTGCAATGTTTCAGCTGTCTAGGCACATGTTCTCTGCTGAATGAAAAGTACTCTTCGAGGTTTTAAAATAGTACCGCTGTAGGGGGATGGGACGAAAAGGGAAATAAACGCAGAAAGAGCTGACATTAGGAAACTGTTGGAAAGGAATTCAAGGGTTTTTCTTTTTTTTTCCAAGGTACTACTGCACCTGCCTATGGCTTGTTTGAAATACGAATTATGGAGCTTTCCTGAGTCCTGAATGGTTCATTGTGGTTATATGAAATCCAGCACACACGTTTCCCTAAAGTGGCTGGATTTTTTTTACCTTGGTTCCAAAGATCATGTGTTGAGATCTGAAAATCGTTCTTAAGATTTAAAGACGTTAATGCGGTGCTGCATTAGTCAGCCTAATTTAAGACCAGTGCAGGTTTAATCAGGGGGCATTTACCTTCAATGCGGCATTGTAGAGGCTGCCTATACCACTTACCATACATGGTCTTGAAGGAAGAGATGCTCACATTGCTCCAGTAGACGTATTTACAGTAATCGGACATATGGGCTGATCCGCTCAGCTGTAGTTCATGCCCTTTTAAAACAAGTTTTTTTTTGTGCCAAAACCAAGCCGAGTATCGATTGTACAGTGCTGTAGGGGATTTTAATGGCGGCACCCGCCGGCCCACACGTCTACTCGGCTTCTGCAGTTTCCATCATCAGCTGCTCACTGAATGTGTCCTGGCAAGTCCTGACCTGCATGGGGATTTCCTGGGCAGGTCAGGCAGATGGGATTCTGGAAGGCATTCTACAGAACATCTGTGGAATTTCCCACCAGCTGTCGTGATGTAAGTGTTCAGAAGCCCGCTGCAAGACGCATGCAGTCCAGTTTGTGGGTTTTGTACAACACGTATGGGGATCAGCGTGGCATATGTGTTCAGTACTGAGCATTTTCATTTTGCCTTTAAAGCTGCATTTATTCATATTTGATGAGGATGTTTGTGTAAAGTTTAGGTTTAAGAGCATCCCAACTCCCTGGCACTTGTTATAATCTGACATACTGTAAATTTACTAGTGACTGCTGTCATATAAAACTGCTACAATTATCTCTCCTACAAGTGCAGCTGCATTGGACACTTAGTTTCCCAGCATGGAAGCTTTGTAACTAAAATAAAAAATAAACTGGTTATCAGTATTTTAACAAAAAATCAATTGCTATTAACTAGTTCACTCTACAGCAAGGCAGTGGAGGCCAATGGCAGTTCATCGATATTTTAACAAAAATAGAATTGCTATTAAACTGCCATTGGCCTCCACTGCCTTGCTGTAGAGTTTCAGGGTACTACTGTATACATGTGCTAGGCTGCAATGTACAGTACCACTTGATGTGCACCACACTGGCCTTTAAACGTACACTTACAAAAACCATTCTCATCCAGCAAATGTTGATGCTAGCTTTATCTGTACATTACTGAGTTTAAAGTAGATTTTCCACTGTTGAAGTTTCCAGGCTGGAATGATTTAAATGATCCATTTTGCTAAAAGCACACACTGAATTGTATACTCTATAATAGATAGATAATACTTTATTAATCCCGTACGGAAATTGATGTGTTACAGCAGTCCAGCCCAAGACCAGCAAAAACAGACATCAGAATAGTTATAAAACAAAAGACAACAAAATAAATAAAAAAATAAATATACATAGGTGTGTGCAAAATGTCACTGAAAAAGCAATAAAATATGTGCAAAATGTGCATAGGTTTACAGACTGATTGTCCAAAAAGAACAATGGAGCAAACATGCTGTCCATAGACGAGCAAATGAAGGGCTAACAGTCCTAGCCTAATATATATATTTTATATATATAATATGCCTAAAGATGTTCTTTGAGTGAGTCCAGACATGGTTCATCTCTAGTTTTGGTATTTATCGCAGTTACCAAGGACTTTGCATTGTGCATTGCTTTTCCATGGGTTACAGACGTTCTCCAGGGCCCTGAATTCCTTGGCTGCTGCAGTGTGAAATAGAAAATGCTAACCTGCAAAGCGTAGCTCTCTGTGGAAAAGCGAGCCCCGACATTGGCTGGTGTTATCCTGAGTGTGTCTAGGTCAGGGGCAGGTTAGTTTGGCTTGGCGAGGGAGGAGGCTTGTGGTTTCTGAGCTGAATACAGGAGCTACTGTCAGCTTGCAGAGTTTTTCCACAAAGCCGGCACCTGGACAAGCATCCTAAACACCCTCCTTAACTTTCTGGACTTTCTGAGCAGGGTGTAAGGTTGTGAAATAGTGCTATTGAAATCCTCATTCCTTTTGATTTCCATAAGTCCAGAGTGTGGCATGTGGCTTGAAATTTAAGCTTTATTGTAATCTTAATATTTCAGATGTACCTCTCCCCCATTTTAATCATATGGGAGTAAGTAGGCAGGTATGTAATATTTTAGAGGACAATTCCCTATTAGCAAATTTTCAAAACCCCGTCCCTATCTTCTAGAGGCCTTGTGAGCAAATATCTGCATCTATATGCTATACTTCCCTGATTCTGATGCTTTGTTCATTTAGATGAGTTTTTTCCTGTTTTTTTTGCCAGTTTAAATGGAAACAACCTGTTAAGCAGAGCGGGTCATCAGTTGGTGTGTGAATGTGCAAGTGATCGTTGCACTCTGTCGATTGAAGTGACCCCTACTCAATACATCACACCTGCACTTATAAAATTGTACATTTGCCACATGTATGTCGTGGTGGTCTGTTTGAAATGTCAGATTCAAGTGTAGAATACGTAAAATGACATTTTGCTCTATGTGGAACTTCCTGTAGAATATAGAATTCTAAATGGGTAAGGTTATATACACATTTTACATTTTGTCCAAATATGTACAATTTATTTTACTGTTCTATGTAAAATAAAATATAAGTCAAAGTATAGAAACAATGTATTAACTATGCATGTAAAACCCCTATTATAATGCCCTCTGGTCTCAGGCACATTGGGTTGTAATGTGATTTACATACCATATTATGATGCAGTTCTCTAGAGCCATGTAGTGAAGTCTTGATTTTCATTCTCCCCCAGTAGTTTCACCAGCCCTTCAGAGCGGGTCTTTGAAGTTTGTCCAGTAAGGATTTAGTCTTTGCACTCTTCCACACGGTTCAAAGCTGAAGAAGATTGTCCTGTCCAGTGCAATGAGTCCAAGACTGCAGCCTTTTATTTCAACTTTTTTTACCTTTTTTATCTTGAATGCCTTCTTTTGAGTTTGATTCAACAAGGATTTTTTAGTTTAACTTGAGGGTTTTGTTAAATCTTGTACATTATTTTAAATGTAATAAAATCTGGAGCCTTGGCCTGCCTCTTTCTGGGAACTCTCTGTGTCCTGTAATATCATTCCCACATTCTAGAAGTTGATGTGGGAAAACCCTGCCAGGCCTCAGGTGTCTGTCATCACCGTCTGTCTGTGCTCTGCAGTGGTGTTACAAGCCCTTTCCTAATGTCCTGCTCTTGTCTTTCTACCAGCTCTTCCTCCCAAGCCGCCCAAACAGATGACTCCAGCCAACACCAATGGCACCAATGTCACCAGTGTCATCAAGGATGCAACCAGCATGTCGCTGCAGGAGGCCGAATGGTACTGGGGAGATATCTCAAGGTATGGGAGAGGACCTGTCGTTTTGTTCCACTTCACGGTACATGACATACTATAATGTGGGCTGCTAAAGATCAAAAAGAGGTCTGGCATGTTAGAGAACCGAAAACCAGAGGCACCTGGTTAATGTTATGGTACGGAAGTCTGTTACATGCAGTCGCCGTTTTACAGTTAACGCCTCCCATCCGCCAGAGATTCTTGCAGATTGTCAGACCCGCTCAAATGCCATGTAGTTCTTACGATGCAAGTCCAGTTGAGTTCTTGAACAACGCCAATGAGTGAGTGAGGTGTGAACTTGGGTGGGATGATGAAAGTGGATGGCAACCAGCTGACTGGAGTAGCAGTGCTTGTGTCATCCTTTAGGAATCTCCTCCCGCCCAGATGTGTATTGTCTTCACAGATATATGAATTGATAGTGCTGTGGCTAGCTGTTTTCTGTACTCTTGTTACCAGTGACCTTTTTTTAAGGAATCCATGTCTGGCAGGTGATTTAGATTAATGGGAGAGGGCAGAGCCCCCCCCTCGAAGACTATTTTCTAGACAAGCGCATAAAACTCTCAGATTTAACAGATTAAAGCACTGCTTAGTGACTGGCTTTAGTCCTATTTGTTGTAGACGTGGTATACAGTGAGTACAGCTAAGGCCAGCTAATGCTGACATATGTTAAAAGACTTGGGGGGAAAAGCATGTCCAGCACCGAGTATAAAGCTAATAGTGGTGAATCTGTGGTCTGGGGTTGTGACCCCTGTGTTGAGGGTTTATAAAGTTCTCGTCAAACACAAGCCCAGGTTGAAACGTTCATAATCTCGCAGCCTTTTTTTCTGGGCTCAGAAGCGTCTACCTGAGAGTGTGACCTGATGTCTGGTGAAAGCAAGCAGCTTGCAGGGGGGAGACAGGATCTAGGATGTTCAGTGTCCGGAGTTCATCACGGCGAGAGCTGCAGTACAGTACGGTGTGGACAGAGGTTGGCCTTCACTATTGGAGGGGAAAGTACGGTACAGGCAGACCAGTTAGCTGTGGCTGGAAGGTGATTTAGCATTTAATCATGTGAAGTTAAAGCCATTGGCATTATATTATATGTTATATAAAATATTTCGGAAGGGTTAAGTATTTAAACCATCTGTGTATATTATTTTTCACCAGGCATTTCTAATTATTTCCTCCTATTGATTTTTATGCAGGTCTAAGATTTAGATGGGGAATATCATTTTGAATATTTTGTATTCCTGGAACTTATTGTCCTGTATTTAGTTGATAGAAAGAGCTTTTTTTGGAGTATTGTGAGCCTGAAAAAGTTACGCAAGCAAGGAATACAACACGTGTCCCTGTGTGTGGGTATCATTTCATCACATAAAATGGCTGTGCGCAGCATTCAATATTTCTCCATTGTGATTTTCTGACAAGTGTGGGATGACTGTAAGGTGTTAATCGGCACAGTATCAAAAGTAGAACAGCTTGAATTCTCTTGGCTCCTGTATTTTCTTGCTGTCTCTGCTGATTTGGGTGGCCGTTTTGGAACGGTCCCCATGCCATGTTTGGAGTAGCTCAGAGGGATACTGGGGGCAGACTCTGTAAAAAAACAAAGTACAGCAGCCATGCCTATTTGGCCAGACAGCTTGAGGGGGAAACTATTTAACTGTGGAATAAGCCCACATCTTTAATATTTGTTTTGTGTTTCTAGATTTTCCACAGCATCTCAGAAAAACGTGCATGTGTAGAAAGTTGTTGAACTCTGAGGTTGTTTTCATGAGGTAACCAGTAAATCCTAAAAAAGGATGGTGATACATGTTGCATTCTCTATGAAATGGTTGAGTAATTAGTTAATTTTACCCATGTTTTTTAGTGTCAACTTTACAGCTGAACCTTATTTCTAATCCATTGTGGAATTGATGGGTTGTACTTGGAAGAAGTCCACCTTTCCATGATTGAGTCTTTTTCCTTTAGTAATGACGATATGCACCCTGTCTCACTGGTTCTACAAGCCAGTCTTGTTGATGGGAGACAATCACCACCACACAGGGCACATTGATCATTAGCATTGCTTTAGCACCAGCTTTGAAGAAATAGCATTTCTGAACTATTATGAAGTAAAGCAGACAAGCTGCATTTTAGCACTTGAGACACAATTGTGCAATTTGTTGTTACAAACTTCCTTTGATCCTGAGCTGTAGTATACCCCAACTATCCCTGTGTGTTGACTTGTTTCTGAAGTTTCTCAAAACCCTTCATTGTATTTCCATCACTGCCTACAGGAAATTGCAAACAGTGTGAAGAGAGAGATCCATCAGTCAAGTCTCTTGTTTTATGTAATATTGAAATGTTCAATCAATAGCAGACTCTCTCAAGGCTGTGAACCTGCCCTGGTGAACCTTTCCTCACTCTGCTCTGTCACTGTGTGCCAGTAGGAAGGGGGTGTTCTGGCCTCTTTAGAATGAATTTCCACCATGGGCCCTTTTCACCTTCAGGTCCGCGGTAAGCTGTGGGATTCCCCCCTTGAGGTTTTCGATATGGCCCAGAGCCGGTGACGTAGTGAAACAATCTCATGACTGCTGCCTGGGGGCGTCTATACCGCTGCACCCATACAGCTGCTTCTGCTAATCTTAACCGCCTGATTGTGAACGTCAGAGCACTGGGTTGCTGTTTCGGCAAGGCTGGACTTGCCAGGGCTGTTCCCAGAGGTACAGATGTAACGAAGAGGAGAGGCAGCAGAGAGTTTGAGCCGCTCTTCCAGCAGACAGTTTCCACACTTGGGCTCATGTTCTAATGGCTTCCTAATACCCGTCTTCTCGGGAAAATTTACTATTTGCTCAATTACATTGGGTGATTTTTCCATAAACTAACCTAGAATTGTTGCCAGCATCAGCTGTGTGCTTGGAGATGGAAGGTGTTAGTAACTGTTATTATTTGTTAGTGGTGAACCAGTTAGTTCTGCAGCTTGGCATAATGAATCGCTACCCCATTGTGAACAGATGTATCGTCAGCTTCGGAACACAAGTATGCTTCACTTGAACAACTAACGGTGAAACTGACAGGAAAATTGTGTAGAGATATTCCATTTCTTTTTCCGAACCACTAGTATTTATGGAAAATGCGGTGCAGTTAAGTGTTGGAATAATTTGGCGTATCTGAACCGAGAGCAAACAGCAGGGTAGGCAAAATGAAATGTTTCATAACTTTGCAGGTCCTTTGAGCACTGTCTGGGCACTAAACCAGCTGTGGGATGGTGTGCTGGCAGATATGCGGGTTAACTGTTCTCTCTCTTCCACAGGGAAGAGGTCAACGATAAGCTACGGGATATGCCAGATGGGACATTCCTGGTCCGAGATGCTTCCACGAAGATGCAGGGAGATTACACTTTAACTCTGAGGTATAGAAAACACTGAAACATTTTTTTAGGGGGCAATGTTATAAATAAAAACTGTACATGGTAAATGGTTAAGATCTTTTTTTTAATTAAGAGCAGTTTTGTATGGACAGTTATATAACCAGAAAGGTTAACTTGATTGTGCTATTGACATGTTGCCTTGGAGCCTTTGAAACTTTCCAATGAAAATGGTGACCTGCATTTCTGGGCATGGTCTTATTTGACACTGGCCATAACTGTGTTACAGGAAAGGAGGCAATAATAAGCTGATAAAGATCTACCACCGAGATGGCAAGTATGGCTTCTCCGATCCTCTGACCTTCAGTTCAGTTGTGGAGCTGATTAGCCATTACCGTCATGAATCCCTGGCACAGTACAACCCCAAACTGGACGTCAAGCTCATGTACCCCATCTCCCGATTCCAGCAGGTATGAGGTTCTCCTCCTCCATTCACTTTCCTGTGGAAATGGCAAGATCACTGTGTTCAATAAAGTAATGCCTTGCCCAAAGAAATAATTGCAGCATTTTGTACAAAAAAACTGGAACAGGTGGCAAATTTGCCGTTGAAGAAGGACTCCAATAAGCATTTCTTTCCTTACATGATCAGAATGAAGGATGGTTTCATTGAAACACTGATGGTTGCCATTGCTCTCTGCAGGATCAGCTGGTAAAAGAAGACAATATAGATGCAGTTGGAAAGAAACTCCAGGAATATCATAATCAGTATCAGGAAAAAAGCAAGGAATATGACCGGCTATATGAAGAGTACACAAGGACTTCACAGGTATGGGGTCAAAGTACATGGTACCATGTTTTGCACAGCCCTTAGAGATCTAAGTATTTTTACATCTTAAAACAAAGCTCCCCTTTATTTGTTCCCCAGAAAACCTCCAGCCTTGAAACAAAATAACAAAAGTGCTAGGCTTAACACCCTGTCAGCAAGCACCACTATATGAAAGTTTATTTTGCTCTTTATGATTAACTTACAGTCCATTGCCTGTCACTTTGTCATCTCTCTGTGATCATCTCTTCCTCACAACCACTGTCCTTCATATTTGGGTGCCACTGAGGTTTTCCCAGAGTTACATATATCCATTGTACAGATTTCAATAAAAGTTGCAATAAAGGCCTTTTGAATTGGTTGTTTTCACAGTAGATGGTTCTTCTCCCTCCAGGAAATCCAAATGAAGAGGACAGCCATCGAGGCTTTTAATGAAACAATTAAGATCTTCGAGGAGCAGTGCCACACACAGGAGCGCTACAGCAAAGAGTACATTGAGCGCTTCCGAAGGGAAGGCAACGACAAGGAGATAGAGAGGTAAGCCCAGTTACACTCGCCTTAGTCCGGAGAAATGCACAACTCCAGTGTTCACTTCCCCACCATGAAAATTCAGAACTGTCACCAGTGTATCTGCTATATTGCTGTGGCCTGGTGGAAGTTTTTTTTACAGAATTTACTTTATAATATTGGATGCTGCTTAAAACCAGACACATTTCAGCTGTGGAGCCTCCTTACACCAAAAGAAGGCTCCACAGCTGAAACGTTGTTCTCTTTCTTCTTTTTTTCAGCGTGGAATAAACCTATTACTTGTTCCTTTGCAGCCTACGCATGCTGACGCAGATACCCACCTGAACTATTTGAATTGGTTTTGAAAAAGTAATACAAACTAAAATTTAGTATTTCCTGTATTGCAGAAATAAAATGGCAGCAAATGTTGAACCTTAAGAATTTTACCCGTGTTGTGCACATCATGCTTAACTGTTTCACGGTCACTCAGTTGAAAGAGTTGATGAGCCCTCTCCTCTTTGGCAGAATCATGATGAATTATGAGAAACTGAAGTCCCGCCTGGGCGAAATTCATGACAGCAAAATCCGCCTGGAGCAGGACCTGAAGAAGCAGGCGCTGGACAACCGGGAGACGGACAAAAAGATGAACAGCCTGAAGCCTGACCTTATTCAGCTCCGCAAGATCAGGGATCAGTATCTTGTGTGAGTGTTCTGTGGGGCTTACCTTTTTTATCACCATTTAAAGCTTACATATCTCATCTGAATAACACATGTGCAGTGCAGATGCTAAAATGTACTTTCTTCACATTCGGACTGTTTTTTAATAGTGTAAAAGCAAACAAGAATCTACCTTTGTATGGAGGAAACGTCAGAATATGGAAGAAGTGCCCAATTCTGTTGGAATCTGCAGTGAAACTGAAGTTATTTCACTCTGACAGTTTCTTTTGATTTAAAGCAGCTCAACACTAGCCAAGTGAGATGTTATAAGGGACGTTTGGATTCAATTATAATGTGTTTTGGACGGTTCGAAAGGAGGGGTTAATGAAAAATTTTTACCATACTTTATGCATATTGTGCACAGCTGATCTACTTCAGGAATCCCAGCTTTGCAACAAGCTCTGCCGAGGCCTTGCAGTTATTACTCTTCATTGTAATGCTGTGTCCTAAAGGTCATATAGAAGGGGAAAAGTAGGGTAAACCTGTTGCGTTCAAGTAAATCGAAACTCATTACAGGAGTAGGCCAATAACGTGATTTGAATTACCTTTAGGAAATTTAGCACTGCATCCCATCTGACTGGTGTGTTTTTTTAAATGAAGCTCTTAAGAATTCAGGGCTAGTTTCTGCTCTCTGGATTTTTTTTTGGTTGTAGTCCGTGTCAGTGTTCCTTGGCAGAGGGTGCCATTCTGAATGTGTTCTAATACCTCCCTCTCCTCCCTGCAGCTGGCTTAATCACAAAGGCGTGCGTCAGAAACGAATTAACGACTGGCTCGGAATCAAAAACGAAAATCTTGATGAGTAAGTACATTATGCACGGTTTTATTTTACCCCCGTGTTAATCAGTTAAATTTAATGTTTTTCTGTTGCTAAATATAGTAGTTGTAATCCATGCCAAAAGAAGAGGGATTTTTATTCCCCCTTTTACAGACTATTTTAAAATTTAGTGCTGGCAAGTAAGTGATGGCAATTTAAAAGCTGTGGGTTGTAATGAAGTGCTAGCTGTGAGGACGGCAGAGTGTGCCAGCACTGAGCCCACTGTCACAGCACTGTGATCTCCTGGAAGGCACAACTAAAGTTAGTCAAAATCTACCAACTGAAGTCCGTTTTACTAATGCAATATTACCAGAGCTCTGATTTAAAAAATGTTGAATTGTCTGTTGTATTTGAAGCTTTTGTCAGTGCGGTACCGTGACGTCCAGGAGACCTCCATTGGGTGGTCTCAGAAGTTTGAGTTAATAGGTGAAACCGTGAAAAGTGTTTTTGTAATCCTTAATGTTTTTGCCAGCACCTACTTCGTAAACGAGGAGGACGAGAACCTGCCGCACTACGACGAGAAGAGCTGGTTTGTGGGGGATCTTAACCGGACCCAAGCTGAGGATCTGCTTCTGGGAAAACCTGACGGCGCGTTCCTAATCCGGGAGAGCAGCAAGAAGGGCTGCTATGCCTGCTCTGTGGTGTAAGTAGCAGACCAGTTTTCATAGACTGGCATTACCGCATGCACATACATGGGGAAAGCCATGCTGCAGGGCACCCTATGTGCTTGGCACTGCCACACAGTTCATCCGGGATGCTTTTCCTCACTGCTGTCTGTGCCATTTGCCATTGCTTACCCTCATTGCAGTGTAAAAAACCTCCATTTGACAGCTGTTTAGCAGTCTTAGGGTTTTGTATAGAAGACTACCTCCTAACTGCCTTACATATTTCATCCATGCAGGATCAAATTTCAGTTAGCTTGCCTGTCATAATTTATTAAGTGTCTAAAGATGCACAAACCTGGCATTTAGAGCATTGCCAAGACTGCTCTGTGGTGCAAGCGCAGGTGATCTTTTATAATTCTGCTGTAAATTTTTATCCTGCTCTTTTTTTTTTTACAGCTCAGTACTGCAAGTCCTCATTAGGAATTTTGTCTTCCCATGAGATTTAGTTCCTTTGTCTGCAATGCAGAATCCCCTAGCGCAATGCAGTAGGGTGATGGGGAGAACATCTAAAGACCACGTTTGTCACTTTCTGTTTGAACCAGACGCTATTAAGATATTTTTGTTCTTGAATTTCCCACGTCCCACTATTTTAATCCTCCTTTGTTTTGCCTATTGTGCTGAGCTCTGTGCCATGGCCATTTTAAGAGCCGCTGGCACAACTATGCTCCAGATTGGAGACCATTGTCCTAATACCTGGCTCCTGACCAGGTCTCAGCAGGCCTTGCAGTGTGAGGACTTTCAACAAAAATAAAAATTTAAAATAGGCAATTGTCTCTCCCAAGCTCCATTCTCCAGTGTCTCGCAGAAAGACTGGTTCAGTCACCGCCCCCCCTCAGCTCTGTCCCGACACCCTTCTTAGCATTCAGAGGTCACTGGCTGGCCTGCAAGGAGTATGCCTGGCAAGACATGAAGGCATAAAATACATGGTTCTCTGTGCACAGATGTCCGCACACTAACATTTGCGAGCATTTACACCTTAATTGTTGTATTCAGTGTCATGTCCACTTTGTTTTGTACTTAATGTGGGGATTTGAATTGCAACCCATGTAGTTGCTGTGCGTGACTGTGTCATTGTTGCTGCATCAATGTATAGAAAGCTTGAGTTTGAAAACATTTTGCTGGCACTGCCTCTAGGGGAACTGTGCCGTTTTGTTTTTCAAAAGGAGGCAGATATATCATGCACTACCCAACAAGATGGAACTCCCTCAACCCCCCCTACTAGTAATTATAGGATTTGCAAGAACAGGCACGGAACGCAAATGTTTTAACCTAAAAACTTGCTAACATCTACACAAAAGGTTTTTGATGAAAATGCTTGTGAACCAGTCTGTTGTGCAATCCTCCAAGCTACTTCAAGTTTGATTCTCAACACTATCATTTAACCAAACTGCTTTGGTTTTTAAATGCACTGTGAAGTGTCACTCAGCGATGGTGGTGCCAGTCTCGCTAGGAAGGCTGTTTATTTTCCCCCACCCCTCCGTTTTCATCTCTTGTGCTGAATGTAGCGCCTGCAGCCATGGCCAAATGTTAAGGCCTGCACATAGCGGAATGAGTTTTTTTCCGCTTCATGAAAAAGCGTTTGGTTGCACTTTGTGGCTTGTAACCTGCTCTTTTCTTGCTTTGCATTCACAGGGTGGATGGAGAGGTGAAACACTGTGTGATATACAGCACCCCACGCGGCTACGGCTTTGCCGAGCCCTACAACCTTTATAGCACTCTGAAAGACCTCGTACTGCACTACCACCAGACCTCGCTGGTCCAGCACAACGACTTGCTCAACGTGCGACTGGCGTACCCGGTCTACGCACAGATGCCCTCTCTCCGCAGATGAACCCCGGAGGGGCGGCTGATTCAAACAAACACTTGCTGCAACACACGCGTCGGCCACCTTGGAGTTATATATATTTTTTACTAGAACAATTTGAGGGCATTCTTTCTAAAGACTGCTTGATTTGCACAAGGAAGTTTTAACGTTTGTGAATGTGAAACCGAAAAAGAGACATAAGAAACAAGAGGCAAGCTCGTCTCGACCCGAGTTCAGGTGACCTGGTGCTACCTAAACTCCAGCTGTGACTTTTTACACCCTTTAATTCTCGCCTTTTCTTTTTTTGTTTTTTGGTTGTTTCTGTTCCCTCCCTGGGTCAACTCCATGAAAGGAGAAAAAGGAATTGAAGTTTTTCTTCGTTGTGAGCGAAACGAAAAAAAATGTAGCATACAATCCACAGGAACTTTTCTGGATGTATTCATCAGAGACACTGCTGCTGAACAAGTCGGGTGGGGAGAAAAGGTTCTGTAGTCTTAAAGACATTGCGTTTTATACTGGATTGGACAGGACATGATCAAAAGGAGGGCTTTTATTTACTTTTTTGTTCTGTGGGTTTTTAGTTTGGCTGGACTTTCGGAACTGGCTAGTTTTCCTACGAAAAGAAAACACTTCAGTCAAGTAGAAACAGAGACCAAAGTTAGCCTTGGAGAAACTCCACTTAAATATGATCTGAATGAATAAAGGCAAAATAAATGCAGAGATGCTTTATTTTGTACCACATATAAAACGGTTTTGGCTAGTGCTTGTACAACACTGAAGTTCTTTAAGTTTATTCTTAACCAAATTGTACCCACCGAAATTTTTCTTGGTTTGAAGCACTTATTAAAAAGGAAAAATCTCTGCAGCTGCACATCTTTACACCAAAAGAAAATTAGAAAATGAAAACCTGGAACACTTTTTTGTGTTGTTTAAAAATACACATATATGCTCATGTCTGTTTTAAGCAAAACCATGACATTTTGTATGCTATGTTCTTTATAGAACCTTTAAGATAAGCTTGAATTTTAACGTATAAGTGAAGCAGGTACAATGGTTTTTGAGTTTAAAAAAATGCTTTAGAAAATCAAAACTGAAGGAAGTGCAATCCAGTGTTTATTGGTGGGATTTAAGTCCCCTTGAAAGTCAGTATCACCTACTCAGTCGCACAGATAACAGAAAAGCAACCAAATGCACAACTTACCCTGGGAGAAACATTTTTGTATTGGTCATTGATGGTGCTTGACTTTATAACCAGTTGGAAGCATTTGTTAAGAATTTTAACATTGGCTGCCTGTATTTTATTTTATGTTGCATTCATAAAATAAAAATATTGCATTCATTACAGGCACAATTGCTATTCATAAAGATTTCACTTCCTGAAATCACAAGCATTCATTTTCAGATGCTTGCTTATGTTTTTATCACGCCATTACTTGGCCATTGTTGTTTGCGGAAGTGAGCAGTGGAACTCTCTAGAACAATAGCCCGATTCTACAGTAAGCACTTAAGGCATCGGAATCTGGAAGCAACCAGTGACCAAGGCACGTGCTTCCCTTCCATTTGTGCATTTTTTGTCCTTACTATTGTAAGGTGTAATAAGACCATGTCATTAGGACACATGCATACAAAGTTGCTTTGACAGTGGTATGTTACAGAGGACATACTTTTTATTCCTGCTGTACCTTGAAAATGTTTACTTGATGTTTCTGAGGGAAGTGACGTAAGGGAAAGGGTTAAGGTTTATTTCTAACATAGACCATTAATCTGTACTGATAAAAGATTTTCTCCCCAATTTGCAAGGATCTAAAGGAAAGTGGGGAGTTTCACAACCCATTGTTACACCTAAATCACAAAAGAGACAATTCTGAGAGATACGTCATTCTTAACAGGCACCAGCTAGAGAAACCTACCAACAATTAAGCTGCGTGTGTTTTTAACTGTTTCTCTGCCAGACTTTTCTTCCATAGATACAAACATAGGTTGCATGGTGTCTCCTTGTATATTTTGCATTTTGACCTGAATGGAACAGTACCCTGGAAAACAAATCCAATTGCTCCTTTTGCAGACTGGTTACAAAGTCAGCCATGGCTGTGATTTAAGGTCCTCTCTGCTAAAACAGTATAAACGTTGCCAGTATGGGAATTTTTAAAAACAATGGTGAGGAATATTGCAACATTTCTGCAGCTTTGTTTTTGTCAGAATTTGCTTCTTTAAAATGTAGTAATCTCTCACAGGAAATGGTTTTCAGGGGGTTGCAACCTTGGACATAAGTACCAGACTTTTTCTTATTGAATCCATAAAGAATGTCTAGCTTGTCAACACTTTAAGTCCAGCAGACAAAGTATTTGCTGAAGGGCACTGTTCTGGAAGGGAAACGCTGAACAGCTTGCTGTTATCTGTGATACGCTGATTTTCATCTGCTCTTGTGGCATTGAAAAAATACAAATGGAGTGCTGAGCTCTGGCTTCTCAAGTCTCCTGACAATTGGAGAGATCTCACAGGGGAGGAATTGTTGTTCAGAAGATCTGGCACAATTTGTAGAGTAATTGTTTTTAAAAAATGTATCCAATTTAAGCAGCCTTCAAATATCAATAATGCAAAGTTATGTTCTTTACTATAGAAGGACAGTGACACCACTTATTTAAGAAATAAGTTGAATTTGTTAGGATGTGCATTGGATTTAGTTGCGTGGTTTTTAAGGTCTGTTTACCTTAATAAGCAAATGTCCGGCTTTTGGGAGCTACAGTTGCCGCTGGAATGTTGAAACTTTTTCAATGTAGAGGCAGGTGTGAACAGAGACATTGTTACAAGCTATCAGACCGTGACATCTTTAAGCAGCATCCCGAGAATAATTCATGTTATTCAGGAAGCAAAGTTTTACCAATTCTTAATAATCTTATGCCTAGGTGTTTTGCAAAACAAGAGTTTATGGGAGTCTTCTTAGAAGCTGTTGCGAGATTTGTAGTAGTGTTCTTTACGTTTTCCCTACAGCAAGTAAATCGCTGCTGACTCAGAACATTTCCACAAATCATCAATCAATTTGATTCCTCCCCCTTTTTATCCCTGTAAAGAATTCTGATCTCTTCTCGGGGGCTCAGATGATCACAGCTGTTTGTATGCCAGGACTGCACTTGTGTATGGCAGTATGTTCAGAGACACCTGTCCTGGTTCTTGTTCTGTAAAGCAAAACCAGCTCTGTTTATAAGACTGAACTGCCTAGCCCTGTTCACATTGATCCTGCCTGTATCCCAGTCATGATCCAGCACACTGGCCAGCCAGCTGGGGGACAGCCAGACAGGCACTTCCTCAAACTGCAGAGTTGTAAAGCTTGTCTCAATGAAACTTTTTTCACCCTCCTGTTACTTCAGATATTTAATGGGCTTCTAAATGGTCTTGTTTCTATTAACGTGAGCTATTGCATTGCTTGCTGTTGAATGTCTTTGTATCCATTTATAAAATCCCTTCTTGTTTCAGTGGTGCAAAATGCAATGCCATTGGCTTAAAAAAATTATGGATTTTTTCTTGGAAATGAAACTTTGCATTTTAAAATTTCAGAAGAAGGGGTTTGGAAGCCTTCAAATGTCCACAGTTGTTGAAATTCATTTCTGTTGGCAGTGATAGTCTGAAGTTTCACACATAGTGCTAGAGCCAATTCTCCCGAGCACAGTTTTCAGTTCTCTTTAGACATTTTCATGTTGGTTGCTGCAGGATATAGGGTTGTTGTGTCGGGGTACTAACTGAAGGATTACATAGTTTTTTTTCTTTTCTTGGAGACCAAAGATTTAAGTTATTTAATGTTAGATTTTAAAATCATTGCAAAGGGATGCTATTGAAAGATTACTCTTGTTAAAAAAGGCTGGTGTTCTGCACATTTGTTCAAAATGTTTATTAAAATTCTAAAGCAGCTGTCATACAGCTGGGTTATCACATCTGTTAAGACCCAAATTGAGTGATATCTGTAGGGGGTTGAGGTAGGCCACTGAGAACCCTTGCACCATTTATTTCTCTGCTTTCAATCAGTAAGTGAATTTCTTTGAGGTTTCTACATCAGTTTCTCCGAGTTATAAGCGAAGGCTGATGAGTTGTATGTTTTCAAACTTTTATCACTGGTACCTGTGCAGGTCCTACCTAACCAGTGTCATTTTTTTTTAATTGCGACATTCTGCTGTAATTGCAGTAAACGCAAAGCTCAAAATAAAACTCAAGTCATTGTGGGAGCTGCATATGTTTTGTAAAACCTATGTTTGTTTGTTTTTTTTTACTTTTCTCCCATAAGTGCAGACTGCTTGCAAACCTCTTGTTTTGGATCACTGAGGAAAAATCTGAGACTTCAAACCGTTCCCTCTCATAAGACCTGTTTCAAGCTATCGCTGTCACCGCTAGATGGTTTCAGCAAAACTTTAAGTTCTTGTTCATCTGAAGAGCCCAGAGGTATTTATTTTCATTATTTTAATTATATATGCATTGTTTTGTCTGAGTTTAGTCAGTATTAGCACACTAGCTTGAGCAAAATGTGCTCTTTTTTCCCCCACACATTTAAAATGCCTATAGTACTTGTTCGCTGAGTATTTTGGTTAGTCTTTAACAAACTCGTTCTCTGCAGGGCAGAAAGCGGTATGATTTGTACTGATCTGTGGCTTGTTGGTTATATCACTACAGATTAAAAAACGCAATATCCTTTTGTCTTTTATAATTCAGGGTCAAAAGATCATTGCTAGTGGTTTAAGGGAGAAAATGGCTTAATTATTGGATAAATGCTTTTTGCCACCTGAAAAAGTGAGTAAATATGGTGCATTATTTAGATTGTACACTATTGGGTGGATTAACCAACTTACATTTTACATTCACTTTGTAATAAACTCTTTAAAATAAAAACTAAAAGTTAGAGCACTGCTCCTGAACTATTCACTGACCCTTTTTTGCAGGAAATGTTTGCAGATATTTTTTGAAGTTTTGCCTACACAGCCCTGTAAAGTTTTATTTGTAGTTCAACACATTGAATTTTTTCACCATCAATTTGTGTTCCCAATACATCTCCGCAGAACAAGGCCCCATTTAAAAAGGAATACTGCGTCTTTAATGAAAGAAAATCAGGCGCACTTATTTGCTTTTTTCCCCTTTTGACATTTAATACAAAAACCCAGCATGCATCTTTGGTACTCTTGACTGTTGTTTTTTGTGTAAAAAATACTGTTCTTTGTCTGTTAATGGTGTATTCAAACTGAATTTAATATAGCTAACAAAACAAGTCACTGCTTTCTGCAACAAAGTTAGAGCCCTGTACAACTGTAGTGGTTTTAAATAAAAAGATAAAATATACTGAGAAAGAGGCTAATGAGTAGTGTAATAGACACCATGATTTCTTACTCCCAAGTTTTCATCTAGATAAGCAATGTTAAAAGAACTGAAGTCTTGTGAATTCATACAGAAACTTTACACTTTTAATATTCTTTGTAAAGAATGTGGGTGTGTGAAATGTATGTAAAATTGGTAAATAAGCATTTAAGCACCCAAAGCTTTTTTTCTGTTACATTGTAGCACTTTATATTAGGATATTTTCCAGAAACATTTAATGTTCAACAGTTCTTGTGCTGCATTTGATCCAATTAATGAATTATTTTAGGAACAATGTAAGCAATAAGAACAGATCAACTCTTCCTGCCTATCTGTAAACACATAGTTGTTGGAACAAGAAAACAAATGTCCATAGTCTTATACAAATTGTGCTTCCATCTTGGATAGATAAATTAGTTGGATATTTCCCGCAGTTTGTTCCCTTACCTCTCACAATCTGCATTGGAAGCAGCTTAGAAATGTCGTCTTCTGTACTTCTTGGCTTAACAATTAAGCTTACACTTTCAAGCTCACCTTTTTATTTTTAAAAAAGCCTCTTTCTCAGTATTAAAAGAATACTTACATCGGGCTTATAGGAATCATTCAGTTACATTTTTCATCACAGTACAGTTTTTTCTTGTATCTGCTGCAATAGTTTGTATTGGTTGTAGGAATCTCCATTTGTTATGGGATGAACTCATGTATAACATTATCAAAACTCCACAAATACTCATCTCTTGCAGAATAAAGAAAAATATTTTGTTCAAACCTATCTTGGTATCGCCTTCCTTTCTGTATGAGGATGTGATAGAAGAACAGGCTTGGGCTCAATTATTTCTCTACCAGCCATGGTTCCCTGTTAAAGATCATGTAAGTGTCTGGCATAATCCCCAAAACTGTCTGAATGAGGGCTGTCTAACAGATTCTAGAGGACTAGAATGTCAGCATAATTTCTAGGTTGATTCTGAGCAGCATAACCTGAAGAGCTGAGAGTGGCCATTAAACTGGACAGCCTTAGTGTACCCTGACCACTGGTTCTCAGTCCTGGTCTTGGGGATACCTGTATCTGCTGGCTTTGCACCAGTCAAGCTGTTCATCATTTCAGTTCTACATTTGAGGACTATTTTTTTTAATTTGCTTTCAGCAAAGCTGAATTTTTTTTTATTTGAGATCAGCCCTGTTCTCAATGCGTTTCAGGTATTCTAGCTAAAATCTCACCAATTGGACTGGCACTCCACCTGATTACAGGTAGAACTTCTTGCAAAATAGATCCCCAGCACGAAATCAATTTCTGCACCCTAAAGCAGGTTCTGCGTTCTAAGAATGCCAAAATGTTAATCTTATTTCCAGCAACTGTAGCATTCAGAATTTCTCATAACATGTCCCCTAACTTCTTATAAAGCATCTCTTACAAGATGATCAATTGAACAAGGTTTCCTGAACTTATACTATAATGAAGCCTGGAGAACTACAGTATACTAGCTCACTTTCAGAGTGAGGTCAAAAAAAAATTAAAATAAAAGATTTTTAAATGTCAATCTGGTAAGAATTGGAAACAGTTTCCAGTTTCTAACTTTAACACTGTGAGACATGGTTTTCTTAGAAACAACTCTATAGAGCCCTGCCTTTTTATAGAGAAATTGCAACTGACTTACTGTACTACCTAGTGTCGATAATTCAAAAATTGAATTTGAATCTTGGTTCATCGTGTCTTTAAATTCTTAATGACCAAACACATCCTTAAGGGGTTTCTTTGTAGAATTTTGGGAAAAAAGGCCACATTTTTATATTCTGTTATCCACCCATAGGTGCATACATTCAACTGAAGTATAATCTAATCAATTGAACTATGCCTATGTAGTACATACAGTTTCTTAGATTCTACTATTAAATACTCTAATTAAACACAGGACAGGCACTACTGGAAATTTACACCACGAATACATTTTAAAACTCGGTTCTATTGTTGAAAAATTGAGATAGCAGGAAAAATAAAATTTTTATGTTATTATAAATGAAATTTTCATTTAAAAAGTTTATTTTAATTGCGTATAGTGGAAAATCAGAAGACTTTTTTACAAAATCCATGGAGTAAGAGTACCAAACACTATTGGGCAAGAAAAGCGTACTGAGGAATTTTCTTTTTTTTTTCTTTTTTTTTTAAACCAATTTTGAACAGACTGATCTTAAAGTCTTTCGCATGAGGAAAGAGATGTCACGAGAGCCTTTGTTTTCTATTAATGAGCAACTCCCCACCTAGGTGCTTCAATTCTGTATAGCATAACATTAAGTTTACATGAATGTCTCTCAAATTAGGAATCCAGTCCACCTATTTTTTTCTAAATTCATTCTAAATTATATCCTACTCAAGTCTGACAAATTTTCCAGTTAATTACACTAAAATCTAAAACTCACCATTTCTCCTATGATAATTTACCTTAATGCTTCAGTGGTTTAGAAACCAGTGCAGTCAGTGTTGTCCTTTTCTTTGTCCACAACAAATCTAACCTGGAGACCCTTTTAGAGAGCAGGGTATTTACTAGAGCAAACACTTTACCTGACATTTTAACTGTTCCTTTCGATTGTCTGTCCACTATACTGCTGCCTCCTGTTAATTTATTCATATGGGCTGCTAAAGAAGGCTAGCAGACCCAAGATGTTTGGTTTTATTAAGAACAACTTAAACTCTTGATGGCCCAAGCTCCGATATGATGACCACTGAAGGAAAATTTGCCACAAAAAGTTTGCTGTTGCTGTTCAGTTCTTGAATCAATGGAAAATGTTATAACTGGGACAGTACTAGTTACCCCCTGCTGTACAGGATGTTCTTCCCTCCTGCCTCGTGATTATTTAATTGATTTTAACTAAGAATTTCCAGCTTCTGCCATGTTGAATTCTTTTGGAAGGCTTAAATTTGAAGTGATTTTAATTTACCTGTAAAAAGGACATAATTTGAAAATTCAAATTTGTTGCAGGGGAGAGTTGTGATTTCTTAAAATAGTCCAAATAAGAGCTCAGCAGGAATGAAAACCAGCAGAGACTGGCTCATAAGAAGCTGATCTGGGAAACCATGATTTGGCAGGATTCCTTTTCTAAATTCGACATGCTGGTCAGAGTGCAGAGCATCACCAAAACCAAACTTGTCGAGAGGATTGGAGATTTTAGTATTCAAAGTGAGAATTTTTGTTTACCAAACTACAGTCATCACAGTTTACCTGCTGATGACAGTGCATAAGGCCTGAGTTTCCCAACAGGGATTCCAATGAGCTTGTGGCTAAAGAACTAACAATGGAAATAAATCTTCTACAACCAAATGCAGCAGACAAATGGCGAATAAAATTAATTGGAGTAATTGTTAGCTTGTAGAGAATCAAAAGCAATGTAAATTAGAAGCACATATTCATCTCTGGCAATATAAGCATCTTCAAATTGACACCTCATTATTCCAATGATAAATGAAGCTTCCCATTGTTCCATACCTACTAATCTGCATCCCTTAAATATGATAGACAGATACAATGCTAAATTCATTAGGAGGCTCTGACAGAAGCCAACATACCAGTGCAAAGATGTTCTGTGGGAGATTCCAACTGGGGCTGGTTATATACATGGAAATTGTTGTAATTAAGACATGGCTTTGGGGAGTCACAATGTGAATATGCTTAATGAGTGACTGTCAGCCCCTGAATTGGAATGGATAATTGGAGTTCTTTTTGTACCTGAAGTCATTCCTGAAATGCACTTTTATTATTCATTAAACCTCAGGTACCAGGATAGAGGCTCTGAGGAATAACATCTCTTCTGCATTAGCTTATCTTTTGCTCTTCACACTTAGGTGGGCGTTTTCGAGCTAGGTGCAGGCACCCTCTGTTTCAAACACTGCTGCAAGAGTACACTCCTATATTACGTGTAATACTTACTGTAAATTATGTAATTGTTGAATAGGTTAACAAGAAACGTGTTTTAGGTAATTAAACCAGTAAATAACTTTGCTGGAGGTGATAGGTGCCAATATTTATGGACACAATTGCAACATCTACCCCTTAACTAGCCAATATTCAAAACCTAAATATACAAAGCAAGATACTTTTTTGTTTAATTTGTGAATGATCTATAAGTCATGGAAGATTTCAGCACACACATGGCCTACTCTGAAATCCTACTTTATTTATTCAAATGCATTGCTTACTAAAATTGTAATTAACACATTTTAAACTTGTCGCTGGAGAGGACTTTGGGCCCTGTACAGGGACTAATGGACAGAAGCAAGTGGTTGGGCTTGGAGGGACCATTTAATTGCACAAATCCGGCCCCATCATCCACTTGCACGGATTGATAATGGACAATCACCCCAGTTTGGAAAGTTTTTATTGCATGTAAAGTTCATATCTTGCTAGAATGTTTACTTATGTTCACTGATTGTGAGAATGTTTCTATTGTGAGATGTTGCTTTTGGAAATAAAGTATATTTTGAATACATTTTTAAAAAAATCGAGCAAGCACAGAAGCAAAGTCATGCAAACTGCACACTGAGGGGGTCCGAGTCCAGAAGTAAAACCAGAACCCAGGAGCTGTGAGGTAGCAGTGCTATGTAGCACATTACCATGGCTGCTAACTCCATTGAAAATCCATATTCAAAAAAAAAAATGTTTGTTAACACATGGCAGGTTAGACAAGTTATATTTGATTGGCTATGAGTGAGTTTGGAACTGTATCCTACCCTCCATTTTTCAAATTTATAATTTGAAATGAAAACATAAAATAAATTATGAGTTGCTATCATCCAGGAGGTCATGAGGCTCTCTGCCTACATAATAGTATGCTGCAGTCTTCACAACTGCCACTTACAGAGTTGTTTCCATTGGACCCACAGTAAGTGTATTTACAGTGATAAATATTAAGAAATTCAGGTGGGTAGCTGCGTCAGCATGTGTAGGCTGGAAAAGAGCAAGTAATAGGTTTATTCCATTCTGAAAAGAGAAGAAAGAAAACACATTTCGCCCGTGGAGCCTTCTTCAGGTGTGCTAACTCAATTGAGAATTCATATTAAAAAAAACTCACACCTGAGTTGTTTGCTCACACCTGAAGAAGGCTCCACGGGCGAAACGTTATTTTCTCCTCTTTTCAGCATGGAATAAGCCTATTACATGTTCGAACATTAAGAAATGCCAAGGGTCTTTCTGGCAAGTGGTCCTACCAGACCCAAAACTGGATACCACAAAAAAAGCAGTTTTGGTTGTCTTGCTTACCTGTCAACAGCTAGGTTCAAAACAAAATATTTGTATATTTGGGTATCGATTTAACTTACCCAACTTACAGCATTTGAAGTGAAAGATGAGGTAGACATTATACCTTGTATATCTATACAATATTTATATTGGAAAATGCAACAATCCATCAAGAGCTCTATATGTTGAATATATTTAATATGCTATCAAAATTCCCACAGTTCATTTCTCAAAATCTGAATTCCCCATACCAGCTATAAAGGAAACAGAGTCTGGCTGTTTCAAAAGCCAACCAAAATGAAAAAAGAGAATCCTGTGGTTCCATTGCATTTTCAATAGGACTCTCTTAGAACTGGAGTTCTGGGCTGGCCTTTGATCAGCAAATCAAAGTTGTTTCCATTATTTTTAAAGGACAGTGAATACCTTAAAATTCTAGAGTAAGGGATTAGGCTTATGTTTTATTATTCTCCGGGGCTTCCTGAACTGTTTAACTTTTTTTTTCTTTTAAGAGCTATTGAGCCCTGAGTTCTGTATGTAAACTATA